TTTTTTTTTTTTTTTTTTTTTGAACTCTAACTCTCTTAACATTTCTAACGTATAGTTTTTATTAAGTATTCTGCTAGTAAATCTTACTACTTACTTTTGCCTTTTTTGGATCTTTGAATTTGGAAATCAGTGGGTTATTTAAAACCGACGCGGTTAATAACGTTTAAGAAAAGCCACAACAGTTTTGCTTTCCATGCTCTCTCACCAAATACATTTAGTTCGCTTTACTGTCATGTTACTAGACAGGTACCACATGCTGCACTTCGTTCCGGGTCTTTTTATGTCTTAAACTTTTTCCTAATCTTTTTACAACCTTTTTAATGTATAGTCTCAGCTAACTTTCTGACATTCATCTAGGGTTTACGCCCGAAATTGTTTCTTCACAAATTATACAAGTTTCTGAAATATAAATGTTAAATAAATTTACGACTTTTTATGGTAGTTTTGGTTCTTTTTTTTGTATTTTCTTTCCGGTCGCTGTGTTTTCAGCTTTTCATCTGAATGCAACATTTTGGAGTGGTATGCCAGGCAGTTCAGTAATTATCTTTAATGGGTTTGGTCAGGTTCTCAAATTTTTTTCTTTCTCAACTTGAAAAGGAAAGAAACATGAAGGCTGAATTATATATTCTGGTCTCTATTGTCTGCTAACTTTTTTTTGGAAATATTGGATTATGCTTACAAATACATTAGTGTAGCATGCAAGTAATGAGTAAATGAGCAGTGGAAGTAGAAAAAACATGTATAGATGTGTTTTTCAAATCTTTTGGCAAAGGTAGCTTTGTTAATGTGTGTTTTATGAAGTTCTTTTTTATTCCTGAAGAAAGTGTTTGGACAGTGACCTCTGTATTAAGTCAAAAACGTTGTAGACTTGATTACCAAGTTAGCGTGAGCGGAAGTTAAGCGCACTTAAACGTGTATAATAAAACTGTAAGTTAAGAATCGAAAAGGCGAAGTCATTTCTGGAAAAGGTTCATTAAAATAGTGCTGTTAATGGTCAAAGAATCAAATCATTATAAGCATAAATTTCAATTTTTGATGTCCTCTTTTTTAATCAGATCCTAAGTTTCTCAACACTTTGATTCGCAAATTTTACAGTGCGTAGCGAGATTTTGAGTGACATTGAAAAAAAATAGTGGATGGACAGAACATTTATAAGAGCATATTTCTTTGACTTTTTACTGCTTACTTACTGTACTGGTAGTATTTTGATATGCGATTTCCTAAGTTTATGTAGAGCTGTCACTCATTTTTGACTGCTGCAACTTTTTGTTTTTTTCTACACTAAATTCACAGGATGCAGACTACTTCCAAAATTACTGAACACCTAACGAAGTTTACGGTTTATATTTAGTTGGATTTTTGGTAAAGCTTTACTTCTAATTGTTTATCATATTACCTTTAAATTCGTTCAATTTTTCAAACTAGAGTCAATTTTAAGCTGCATTTTCATTTGAAGTGAAGAATATCGCGCTTTTGAAGTACATTATCAGTATCGCAAATCAATGATTTAATATATCGTTTCTCATCCCTTTTCCTTTCGTTGTGTAGTATTTTGAATTACAGGATTACGCTCCTGTTCACACAGGAGGAAGCTTTTAGGGAACAGTTTTTTATTCAGGCTCTTTGAATTTCTATGGATATGTTTTTATCGTGAAGCGAAAACCAATTTTTCGGTAGTTCGTTTTTTGAATCTGGGGACGTAACACTTGTACGGGGCAATTTGCTGGAGAGGTGTGAGAAAGAGCAAAAAAGGGGATTCATAGGCAGAATCATTTCACGAAATTTGCTAAATTGCGACGTTAACCGCGGGTTTATTTTCCTTTCATTATCTGCCGTGCTTATTTTGGAAGTAATTGAAGTGTTGTTTTTTACACGAGTTTCTCTCTCATATTTACTATGAAGTATCGCTTTGAACGATGTTTGCTTTTTTCCGGGCATATTTCGCAGTTATATCTATATCATTTTACGACAGCTCTGTCTGTAGGAATTCTCTGTATCCAAGGTTTGACTTGTACTTCTGGTGTAAGCTATTGCTTGGATAGCTGGTCTTTTATTGTGCAACTTCTTTCAAAAATTTTTTTCGGTAACTTCACTATTTTAAGTAATACTTGACGAAAGATCAAAACTTATGATGCCTTTGATTAATCACTATTTTTTGTTTAGTTCGCGTCTTTGACAGTAAGGGCCCTGTACGTGAGGGTGGAAATCGAACAGCAATGAATATTTGTTTCGCAACAAAAACTCCAGATGAGGTGAAGCGAAACCGCAAGATTCAGATGAGTATTGTTGATTTTGTCAAATTCGTCCAGAATGTTCGAAACGTACTTGATGAAGCTCGTAATGCGAAATCTAGTTAGCATAGAATCAGTCCCTTTTAAAAATAAATGTCTTTGGACAATTCTTAACGCTATTTTTTCTTTATATATGATGTTGTCGTTGTTTTTTGGTACTTCTGTCGTTATTTGTGCCTTCCACATTTGTATTACCAAGGAGATGATATAGGCGCATCTTGCAAATAATGACTGTTTAGTCTTGCTTTATAGGAAGAATGCATACAATTTTTATTTCATCAACTTTCATGTTTATTTATAAGTTCTAACGTTTGCTAAAGGGAACTGGAGCAAGGCATATATGCATACTCCTCCTTTGATACATTAAAAAGCTTGTTTTACTCATTGTTCACATTCTTTTTAAAATTATTTAAGTTTCTTTTCCATTTTGTTTTATTCAAAGGAGTAGTGATGTTACTTCATACATCTCTTTAGAGTACTGAAGAAATAAATTATTAAACCCATAGAATATTAAAGGAGTTAACACCGAGACGAAATAGATTGAAAACGAAGGAATGACAAGAAAAAACGAGCGCAGTTACTATTGCAGAATGAAAGAAATCAAATGAGATCACAGTTTACTTCTTCCGAAATCGCTAGGGCACTTCATGATTTTTTCTGAAAACGTATCTAGTATTAGCGGTAATCTTTTGGATCTTCAGTATTATTTTCTAATAATAACACAAGAAAGTTATTGTGAAATGCGAAAGTAGATGAATTCTAAATAGTAACCTTCGTAGTGCTTTCGATTTTTTTGGTTGCTTGAGAAGATTTCCGGGCAGCAGCTGCAGCTTTGCTCCCTAAGTCACTTGGCTTTTTGGTTAGAGATTTTCCGCTTGGACCTGTTTTAGGCGTTGCTTTTTGTCCAGCAGTTGCTTTCGCTGAGGTTTGACTTGATTGCCGTGGCATTGGCTGCAAGGAAAGCTGTTAGTGGGATTATTTAAACGAAAAAATTTTAAATTCAAGTTGGCTCAGCTGAATGGAAATAATGTGCTAGCAGCAGTTTGGATTACCAGAATATGGTTGGGGATTGTTTTTCGTAACATCATCCTAACTTTATTTTTACAATGGAAGTTTAAACCAGTGTTAAGTTTATGCCTCACCTTTTTAGTTACCTCTTGGAATGCAACGCCCTTTGTTCTGGGTTGCTCATGGGGCTGTTCAGGCGTAGGTCCGGCTGAAGCAGTAGTTGTTGGTTGTGAAATTTGCTGCATTGGTTGCTCCGGTTGCGTCTTAGCTGGTTGATTTGTACTTTGCGTCATAGGTAACAAGAAATTAGATGGCACTAGACCTTGGTTACCGTTTAATTCGCCCCAGTAAAAACCATCATCATCCATTTCTCCGTAAGTTGTAATTATGTCACCAGCGTGGAATGAAAGTTCAACCTTAATTTGACATTCTTTCAAACAGCAAAGCAAAAAAAGTGATTCTTATTTTATTTATTCAAGCGCTCATGTTTTATTAAAATGGGTGAGACAATTGTGGAAATTCCTCCTTACTTGTCCGCCATCAATGTTGGGGCTTAAATGTGTCGAATCATAATCATACATGGCTCTCATTTTCCTTACTATTCTTCTATCTCCATTTACTTTATTAAACCTGAAATCCACATTCAATCAATGGTCTAGCAAAGGTTCTTACAAGTTCCTAATTTCCGTTCTCCAACAGGCAAAAACTTAAAAAAATGAGTCTTGTTATGTGTCTGGGTGTTGAGGGAAATAAAGGTTAGTTTGAAACGCTCTGAAGAAAAAAAGGAGTTGGGAGGATGGAGTTGTTGATTACAATATTTATTTTTAAGATAGTCACAATGTCTTTTCTGGATAAGTCTTTTCCTAACGGTGAAATTGGAAGTCACAGAGGATTACCGGTTCAAAACCATTTCAAGGCTATTTCTTCATATTTATTATCTCTCGGAACTAGTTGTTTTTCACATACCTAGTATCATCAGTCGGTTGACTTTCTAGGGCATAACCTTGCTGTCCATCTCGAATTGCCTCTGGTGCGACATCGGAAGTTCGAGTAAATTCTCGAGGCCTGTAGTCTCGGTGGTTGGCTGTTTCGCGGTTACTGGGTCCTGCGCGTTCGTCATATTGTCTTGTCATGTCTCCATCGCGAAGCCTCTCTCTTCTCTCTTCTCTGTATTCGGTTTCTCTGGGATCACGACTTTCTCTGGAAGTGAATGAGATCAAATGTTTTGCTTTGTAAGGATCTTTTTTAATGTTACGTGAGCTTGTATAATGCAAGATTTAAAATACAGTACCTATATGGTCTATGTCGCGAATCTTCTCGTTCTTCTGGGTAATCCTTAACTCGTCTACCAGCGCTAGATTCTCTTTGGTATCTTTGCTCCCTAAATTCTCTAGATTCTTGGGGTATCTCTCGCAAGTCCCTGATATCTCGAAAATCTCTAGCTTCTCTTGGATCCCTCATTTCATGTGTGTCTCGCTGGTCTCTAGCTTCTCTTATTCCTCTGAGTTCCCTCCCATTTATACCTTCACGATCGCCACGATAATATTCTCTTCTTTCACGTTCTTGTGCTTCCCTAGGTCTGCAAAAACTATAATTCATTCCATCCTCACTGATTTTGGTTGCGTCTAATATCGATCTTTTGTGGCCATATGAAATTTTGAAGAGAAAAGTCTCATTATGTATTAACCTGTAATCCCGAGAGTAAGGATCTCGGCTGTGATGGTCTCTTTGATGTCTTCCGTTTGGATGATATGACTCGTGACCGTCATCACGATCTCTTCCAGAGTACTCACTTCTTCCAGGATACTCTCCTCGGTTATGTTCTGACCTTCCCACATATTCATAGTCTGTCCGACTTGGGTAATCTCCCCTTGGATGCTCTCCTCTGGGACCATAATCACTACGAGTATATTCACTTCTTGGCCCATAATCGCTACGAGTTTCGTACATCCGCCTTGGTGCGCCGTATTCAAGTGGTCTGCTTGGAAGCGAATGTTCCCTTCTATGGAAGGTAGGGTAGAGATCTGGTTCAACATTTTGCCTACAAGACGGTGGAATGCGATCGCCTGAAACGAAGATGGTTCTTAGTAATAATATTTGTACACAACTCGGGCCCGTTTAATGAATAGTTGCTGCGTGATTCATTTGAGAATCCCAATGCGTTTAGAGGGAAGATACATTTCAGTTTTCTTATGTATGATTAAATTAAAACTATTTTTTATTCCTCATTGAGGATGGATAAATGACCGTAATGAAAAAAGGATTAATTACATAACGTCATCAAAATAACGAGCTGCGATAAGCTGTAAAGCATTTCGCCGGAAAGCAAAATGCGTAAAGGTTCATTTTCAATGACAAACTTTTATTAGTTATATTTTCTGAGAATTTTGCAAAGATCAGTTAGGAGGCGGTACTCAGAGACCAAGATACGTTTTTGAAGCTTTACAGTTCCATTTTATACAAGCAACAGTTTCGTTGTCGATGTTTTTCTTTTCATTCGATATACAGTTCAGTTATTTCAGCAAACTGTAGTTGCTTTTGAAGCAGATTACATTACAAAGTAGTAAAGGAATTTGTCAGGTACCTACCTGCATGGTCATAACTTCTGGATTTAAATGAAGCCCACCGCATACGTCGAGTAGCAGTGTCTGGTACGGCGTCTGAACGACGCCGTTGGGAAAGTACATCATCTTTTGCAATTTCAATTACCATGTTGGAGGGGACAAGTCCAACTCTATGCCCTATTTGACCCATATAAAATCCATCAGGATCGACGTCACCGTACACCTGGAAAATTTTGTTTAAAATTTTGTAGTCGGTTTCAAGCTGCCTCATTATTTTCAAATGCCTCATTATTTTTTCACATACCTTTATTAACTGGTGCTTACGAAATGACAGTTCTTCTTCTTCAGCATTAACGTTTGGGCTCATATGGTGTGAGTAATCATATAATGCTACAAACCATCTGGAACAAACTTTTTACAGTAAAGTGAAACTCGCATTTGTGACAAGTAGATATTTAAATTTTTTTCACCTGCACATATTGTCATCAAGAGCCATAGGACGAAGATCTGGCTCGCTTCGAGTGCTGCATAGTTCTTCTGTTCTTAAGCGTGCTAATGATGCTGGTAGATAACTTCGAGGCACATAACCGACTGCACTTTTCAGTTGCTTGTCGTCGGCACTAATACACCGTCCCCGCAAATACTGCTCTAACCTGTATGCAATTTATCGTCAAATGAAGCGTTATTAAGTTGTTCTATACATGCAGACTAATTTTGGCCTTAATTTCTCAAGCTAGAACACGAAATAAAGTGCCGCTAGAGAGGTTTGTTCTTTACCTTCCTCTAGTGTTTTGTGGAAGAGTAGGAAGTTGTTGGGCTGCTCGATGTTTCAGTAGATAATTGTGTTCCATTTCTAGAACACTGGGCTTTTCTTCGGTACCCGTTGCCTCACGACACAAAAGTTTGGGATGGAACGTATAATATCGGTTTAAAGGTTTCCACTGAAAGAAGACGTTGCAGTTTAACTTTTGGATATAAACCATAAAATTATGTATTGTAATTACTGCTAGTGGAAAAGGTATGTGTAGTTGTGCGCAAAGAATACAGTCGATGACATATTACTTTGGCCGTTACTTTCCACGATTTTACAGTTTCTTTTTATAACAATGCTAATAAAACAAAAAGGTGCAAAAATCAACAAGGTCTCTGACGACCTGGCATAGTTTCATAAAACATCAACTCGCTTATGTAAAAAGTTTACAGCTTTTAATAGTTTTGAGTAATTATGTAAAATAACAACGACCGCATACCAGACTATGTTTATCGATCTTTTCCAAACTGTTTATCTAAACAATTTGAGCTTTTTTGAAATGAGGTTTTGCTTTTGTATTTGCTAATTTCAGAATAGTTTTTACAATTAAAATATTACTGCAAGAAAACCGAAATGCTCGCAGTTGAAAATAGTGAGTAATTCGATAAAATTATTCAAGTTTTTAAAAGTCATAGGCGTTTTGGGTTAATCAAAGCTTTCTCTTAAAAACGTCTATAATTGGGAATTTAGAGGTACATAAACGGAAATTGGTTAAGAGAATGGTCCAGTCGCCTCAGCTTGATTGAATCAACGAATTCACTGTAAGTCGCAACCAGACAGATGTCGTATCGCTGTAGATTCAGAACGAAGTTCAGAGTCATCTAGGTTACACAGGTTACATGCCAGGTGTTTAGACAATAAGGAGGCGGCTATGTGAATTTTAGCTCTTAGGACGTGTTGCTAGGGAAAAGCCGTTTATCTCTTGATAAAGCCGGCCGCAGCGTTTTAACTGCGCAAAAGCGCATGTTTGTCGGGATTCTGACCACTGAGACAGAGTAATATTTAAAAATAAGTCTAGGTTTTATTCAAAGTTGAGCAGTGGTAGAATATTTGTGGAACAGGAAATAGTTAAAGGGCACGGTTTAAATGTATAGCAGAAATGCAAAAAATGATAAGGGCTCATGTTTAATAGAGCTTACTGTCGAAAAGTCTTGAATGACCGTGAACTTCAGAGGTTTAAATATAGTTTTTTTTTTAGGGTTAAGGACAACCTCAACTTTTAGCTGTTAGCCATATTAATTAAAAATTTCTTCTGCTTTACACAAAAAAGAGCTTTTATTAAGTTGAACCATCCTGCATAAAAATGACCTTAAATGTATACCTAGACGCATGAAAAAGTGATCACGATAAAAAAAATAAAGACTTTTGGATGACTGGCTTAAAATTATAACATAGATTCTATAGAACCAGTATGAAAAGACATCAGTGAATAAACAAAAACAAAAAAAACAAAAAAAAAAAACCATGAGAATTTAGCAAGAGAAAGTGAAGATGACTGCTGTAGGATTATGGTAAATCGGTTTGACCCTTTAATAAATTAGATGCGCAATGGGTTACAGCAAGAGACAAGGTCAAAAAGGTTGCGTTACAAATTATTAAGCCTGTTACTCATTTTAACATTTTTTTTCACACAACTTTATTTCTTTACTGAAACCTACAATATCCTTACTTCTGAAACCTTATAGCATACGAGTTTTGATTATGTATCTCAGTAGTTAAGCAATTCTTGCGAAGAAAAGTATTTTTTATTTCAGCAGTTTTTAATGAGGAAAATTATAAAATTTTTTTCATACACAAGAATAACGAAGTAAGAAACAGCAGCAAACAGAAAAACAGAATTTTAATCGTTGGTCGTATTATTTTGTTTTCCACTATATTCTATATATATGTATATCTTTTTTTTCACTGTGTATATCGTGAAACTTCCAGAGCTATTTTTCTTCAGACTTTGCATCAAACTTCATTCGCATACAAAAGTTACTGCGGGAAAGAAAAACAATTCTCCTCTCTACTATAACAAACTAATATTGATTTCTAGTTTACATTACAGTCGGAATTCAGCGGTCAGTTTGTAAAAGATAGGACATGAAAGGAATATTTGATGGTAGAAAAACAGCGACTGCTGGAAGAAGGGAAACAACGCAACATTCAGATACTAGCCATCGATTTGCAACGATTTCAATTAAAACAGAAAACGAGTCGCATCAGTTCCCATGACGTTATTTTATCGTGATCTATAGCATGTGTAAGCAGTGAAAAAATTATCAAATCTTTTATCTAATGATGTTCATGATAATGTGTTGCAAATGTTCGGTTATCTTTCTGAATTATAATTTCTTTCCTTTTCTTATAAAACATGAGACGATAAAAACAAAAAATCAATGAGGCAAGGTAACGCTGAATTGTAAAGAGTTCCGAGAAAGATACCAAAATACGAAAAAGGTATGGTTTCTGTGCGAATAAATTGAGTAAAGATTGATGATTAGAAGCCTTATTACTTTATCTGCATTATTACTTAACATTAGTAAAAGTTTGTCCATAGTAGATGAAGTTTTTAATCAGTGTCTTGTTTGGCATCGAGGAAAATTAAACATTATCAAACTGTTTTATACTTATGCTATACTGCACTTCTCGGTGGCTTAGCGTTACAAGCGTGGCTTAACGTATATAACAGTCAGAACCGCGTTAAAATAGTTTTAGAAAAGTGGAGGAGTGAAATTAATTATTGAAATCGAGTAACTTTCTTATGCTTTCAGGAATACATTTGAAGAAAAAAAACATAAATAAGTAAAATCAGAGCATTTGAAGGAGAAGAAATTAAACGCACGAGTTAGACGTTGTTGATGAGAACGTGGATTTCATTTTCAGTTAGAAAAGTGAACTTTCAGTGAGCTACTATTATCAAATTATGCAATCAAGACTTATCGAGACTTCACCCAGAAATCGATTTGCTACGACACCCAGAGTTCTTAATTCTGTATGCACTTCAATCAATTACCCTCATCTTCGCTTTCAAGGAAATTTAGGCTCTAAAACACTAAAAAAACGTATTCCATTAATTTAGAAATTTCCATCCGTGATATTCAGTGCTGCGTCTTTTTTAAATCAAAAATGTCAATGTCTCTTATCATGGCAAAGAATTCAAATGATGTTGTACTCTAGCTGAGATTTATCATTATCGTGAGTACTGCTAATTTTAATAAACATTCTTTTTTCTTTTGTACGTGTAACAAGTGGGAGCGAAACAAACCTCTTGTAAAACGTTTCCAGTTTGGAGGCCCTTTGCGGTATTATTATATACTAGATTAGTTGAAGTCCCATAAGTTAGATTTGGGTCAACGTTATTAGTGGTTATAGGTGCACCAGTATATGAACTTAACCCAGTTGGAGCAGAAATTGGGTTTGGAGTCAGTGCACTGGTGAAGGCAGTGTTAAGCGGTGCTGTGGCGGTATATAAATTTCGCTGTACTGTTGTGTTCAATGGTAAACCCGTTAATGCATTGATACCCTGTTGTTGGACTGGTCCAATTGGAACGCGAGGCATACTGCTTGGTCCTAAATAATCACTTTTGTTTAAACATTACCCTGCTTTTGGTTCAGTAACTCTGCTGTTCAATATGACCAAAAAACTGCTTTACTGCGGCAACTAATAAATATCTTGCTTTCCCAACCTGCTTGAGAATTTATTATTTTATCACGATTCGCAACATTCAGCCTTTTGCTAAACACATCTGCTTCCTGTTCTCACTGCACTTTTGAACTTTAATAAGTAGTTAAATAATAAATTAGAAATATAATTACCCTGAGTTGCACCCAGCTGTAATCCAGACAGTAAATTTGCTGTTGGCGCTGAGCTTGGAAGTCCAGCTAACTGGTATTCAGTATGCCCAAGTGTTGGTATTTGTGTTGAAAGAGCAGTCTGTGCAGGTTGTAACAGTCCGCACGAAGTTCCGGCTCCCAAACTTCTGGACACAGCAAATGCTCCATAGGCTGGATCATTCATCTGTGTTGAGTAACTGGAAACGGCAATTGGAGCGGACTGCGTAACCGTGCCAAGAGCTGTATTCACAGATATGCCACGAGGCACACGAGCCACGTTGGAGTCCGATGATACTGTACCTTCCCGAGTTCGAGTTCGTACAGTGATAAATATTGGTGGATCGTCAGCAAAATCAGATAAACGTAATAAAACGTGATCAGCTAAAAACAGAAAAATAAACTTCATTGAGATTTCCAAAGAATTTATAATTTCAGATTATATGTAACATTTCTGACACTGTTGTGTGGGATTTCTCTTAGCTCCGTGTAGTCTTACTATATCAAGGTTTTAATGTTTTTTCAAGGTTTTTTTTTTTTGTTTCTATGTGAAGACATAGTTTTATTGCTTAAAGATCTACTACACTTTTGTGAAATACTACGATGCTTAACAAAGTTCTTATGTACTGCCGATAGACAATGTAGCTTGAAGACAACGCCACTTGTCGCTTATAATCAAGAGCGTTTTTCAGTAATTTATAAAACTTGCGAAAAAGGAAAAGAAACACTATTAATTCACAGATAATCATACTTTTGCTTTCAATAATCTGTTACTCACTTATGCAACTTCTTTGCGTCATAGCTTTCAAAAGCAGCAAAACTGAATCAAATTATTATCTATGATATTTTAAGCCAATGTTGTCCATAAAAAACAGTTGCTGGCCAAAAAAAATGAGAAAAAAACTAAAATATTTAAACGAATGTCTGTTTGACAACACTGCTCAGTGAGCCTCGTTAATCGATTTTGCCAACTTGTTTGAAGGTTTCAAACTTCTTTACATTTTAGTTTATCCATCCACATAAGCATACAGAGACACCTACATATCTGCATATAAAAACGTAAA